AACCGAACGCTCAAAATAGATCCCGATTTCGGCGATTCGTGGGCTTATGCTTACAAATTCGAAGTTCTTCACGGATCCCAAGTATGACACCATTGAGTTGTGGCCATTGTTTTCATGAACTCATTCTTTTTCAGGAACAACAGGAGGACATTAAGAAGAGATGTTGTGCTGTTGAGCCCAGACATGGAGACAACTGGTGCCGGGTATCCAAAGATGTGTCCAATTGGAGGCTCACGACTGAAGAGATTCTCGAGAGAACCGCTAATTTGTTGCCGATTCCCACATAAAATGAATGATAAATTATTATTGATTCATGAATCATGATGATAATTGATGATTACTGTATAATGAATATATTGAATACTGTATAACCATTTGATGATTAGTAATCATTGATTACTCGACATATTGTTCATATAAAATGATTCATTTACTGATACTGTTTTTAGTATGAACAGTTTTAGTCACAAATATTTAAGGTTCATTACGGGAAGGAAGATATATATTTTCCCTTATTTTTCCTCCCAAAAAATGGGAAAATCCCGGAAGATATAAATGGCATGGGAACTAAAATTCTCATGGGAAAATATCTTTTTAAAAACTTGAAAAATTGCCACAATTACACAAAAATTTTGAATTATTATTAAATCAAATCGCGTATTATTTAATTGTTTGTTGTGAGGCACGAACACTGGTACAGGCATTGGCACTCATACAACATATCATTGCCATTGAATACCATTGAACCACTTTTTTGGGAAAATATAAATTCTTAATTAAATTATATTAAATTCATTAATAGGTTTTAACAATTTATTTAATTATACGATGCTTAAGCATGTTAAGGTCTATCTTTTAGGCTAATAAAAGTTATACATATATCTCGATTTATCGTCAATTTACCACAATTTATGTCTTATTTTCCCATTTTTGAGGAAGATAAGGGAAGTAAGGAAGATTCCTTATTTTCCGGGAAGACATAAGATATGGGAGGGAAACGATGAACCTTACAAATATTATAGTAAAAATGTGCTAGTATATTGCAGCAATAATATGCTATTCCTATGACAACAATGACGCCAAAGGGTCAAAAGGTTAACCCGGATTACTCCGGATTCAAGATTACAGTTAAAGTGAAAGATGTCTAATCCAAAAGATTTGTTACTTTTTTTTAACTTTTGGAACACTTTTCAAGTTTCCATTAGAATCCAATGTATTGAACCATTTTTTGGTGCCCTCTATCAGACACACAGTTCTAACAGAGCTTACTGTCTGACAGACAGACAGTGTTTGTATTGACCACACGATCACATCCAACACAATGTCTTCAATGCATTCAAATGAACGACTCATTAATGAGTACTTAAGCGACGATTCGTTGCTTTCAATCTTTCAATTCATACCAATCGCACAACTCTTCACTTTAAGACAAGTCTGCAAACGGTTCCAACAATTGGGCGATTATGCGCTCAAACTTCGCACAAGTATTGCGGTTACCATTAAATCAGATGATAATAGCGATGACGAGGAATACGAGTCCAGAAACGACTGCTGCGATCCAAGACATGGCTTCACATCCAATGATTGCATCCATAAGACGTGTCGTACTGTCAAAGACGGCTCGAGAACTCTATATGTGTTGAGTGAACAACATTTGCACCAATTGTTCACTTTCTCCCCGAATGTGAAGGCATTGAGTCTCGAGTCGACGATCTTTGACCGAAATGTGTGGCAATACTTCGGCCACAACTGTCCTCCGGGTGTCCAACACCTGGACTTTTCCAACTCTCAGGGACTCATCGACGAAGTGATCGGCTTTATTGTCGCCAAATGTGGCCCAACTCTGGAGCACATTGTCCTCAGAGACAGTGATATCAGCGAAGCATCGCTTAAACATGTGCTGCAAAAGTGTCCGAAACTGGAGATTCTGGACGTGAGTCGAAACGTGAGGATTAGTGGCCACTGTTTGTCACTTTTGCCGCAATGTGTCAAACATTTGGCGCTTAATAACTGTTGGAATATAGGCTTCGATGGCATTCAGTCACTCGTCTCCGGAAGCGCT